CGCAGTCGTCAGCGAGGAGCAGATAGTGGGTAATAGTTAGAGGGAGACGCCTTGAGGACTGCATGTGCCGGCTGTTGAGAAGATGGCCGTTGATCCTGTAGGTGATGCAGATCCCGGGACACCCATAACGGCAGGCATTCGTCAGCACGGCAGGAAACGGGCGGTTGAAGAGGGCTGATGCGAGCGTGCGACCTCATTTCACTCAGTTGGTTACTGCGAGTGCCTTTGAGACGGTCCCCTTGTCCGTAACGCGTGCCATTACTCTGTCATAGAGCTGATGTACCATGTGTGGGAATCGCGCAGGACAGCCGACTGTTTGCACGATTTTCCCCAGTCCATCTCGATACACCTTGTCGAAGGCATTTGTCTAGTCCACGAAGGTAGTGAATAGGTGCATTCCTATTTCCTGGTACTTCTCTTACAGCTGACAGGTGGCGTAGATCCTGTGGGTGGCTTCGCGGTGACGTTGGAATTCACACTGGCTGCCTATCAGAAGTCCATGTTAGAGACGGCCGTTAACACAGTTGAGGAGGATCCGAATGAAGACCGTACTGACGATGTCGAGCAGTGAGGCTGCTCTGTGGCTACCACAGGGTTGCCATTTCTCTCTCCACTTATGGAGGTGAACGATTTTCACGTCCTTGTAATCATGAGGATGCTCCTGCATTTCCTCGGCATTGCGAGCCAACCAGGCGACCTTCACCTCCCGCAGTAATTGTTGCATGAGGCGGCGACATCGGAAGAAGGCCGCCTTGTTTGCGTCGGTATAGTGGCCAATGTGGGCTTTGTGCAGTCCGAGCTTTCTGGCGAGCAGTTTGCTGATATGTGCATGGTTGTCTTCGAACCAGTTCTGATGTTTGCGACGCGCGCCTTTGAGGACGTCAAAAACAGTTGATACCGCCATCTCTAAGGTGCAGTTGTCGTCGGGGGATGATAGTTCTTCCATGTGCCGGGTTAATTTATTGCTGAAGTGCTTGCGGTGGGCAGAGAAATTCAACAAAACAGTGCTTAACTTGTCCAGTGATCGTTTACCTTACGATCTCCTGCGGGATGGCAGTTGGCGCCTCATCTTGGAGATGACGAAACGATGGTCCGTCTAGACGTCGGTCTCGCAGATCGTCTTGATCGCCAGCACGTCTAAGCGATCTTGACTCCGAACGAGAACATAGTCCAACAACTGCCAGCGCCTCGATCAGGGGTGCACACAGGTCGCCTTCTTCCGCGTCTGCAAGCGGGAGAATGTGTTGGTGAAGAGAGAACGGTGATCTGCGCTGGTCCAGAGAATAAGAAGGCCATTTTGGTTGCAGTCACCGATGCCGTGGGCACTCAACACTCCTCTTCAGGCAGCGCATTCTGTCCTGAAGCAGACGTTAAACTCACCAAGGACAACCAGCTTGTTCGCCTTTGGTACAGTCGCCAGGAGAACGTGCGCGTCTTCGTAGAAGTTGTTGGGGCTGGTCATTAGGGAGAGACGTCGACACTGACGATGGTGACGAATTTGGTTCCCCGAAGAGACAGTCCCAGGCTCATGAGGCGGTCGTTGACGCCCTGCGGCGGACAGGACAGTCGTCCCAAGATGTAGTTCCGAATGGCAAAGGCGACGCCGGCGTCACCTTACACTGCCTTTGAGCGGCCGCTCTAGAAGAAGATGTAGCCAGCGCCCCCCTTCTCCACTCGACCCTGTTCGGAGAAACGGGTCTAGCTGAGAACAACGATGTCCACCTTATGACGTGCCAGTTGCCGGACGGCTAGCGCCTTTCTCCATTTCGGCCGATTTCCCCTCGGGTTGTCTAAAACGAAAGGAACATTCCAGTCTGCCAGTGAGCGGACCCACTATAGAAGACCATTGGGTATGGAAGGGGGATAGGGATGTGGGCTGTTGTTTGTTTGATTGTTTCGACCGCGAGCTGTTCACCTAAGAGCTGCGGTCTACGTGCAGATGACGTGATCCCAGTATTTGTTTAAGGCTTCTTTTCTGGTCTCTTCTCGCGCGAGGGGGTAAGTAGTGCTGTCTCTATACAAGGCTACTTAGGCATCTTAGACGGCTCCCACACTCCGCTATCGGTTACGGATTTGTCTAGTGGAGAACGACCCGAGTTGGCCTGAGCCTCTTACGGGATTGCATGCCGCCCTCTCCGTAGGATTTTTAAGGTGGGAGGGAGAGGAGGGAATAGGTGGGGGAAGGTGTTAGAATTGAGGAGTAGGGTAAAGTGCGGCCGTCGTTTCTCAACTCTCTGAGCTAAGATCATGGCGGGTTATGCAACGAGAAGTCAGCCAATAGTAGGCAATACAAAGGCAAAGGGCATGATCTGCGACAAAGAAATAAAGCATAGCGGCCGTTTTTCAACGGGGAGTCAGATGATAACCCCCCAATCGAATGTGCAAAAGTCTAGGATGAACGACCATGTTTCGGAGAGTATCGAATAAAACACGCCGTACTTAAACACATATAGTAGGGATTCTTTGTACGCCGTAGATACGTGTAGGCCTTTACTAGATCCTAACCGGGGAAGGAATGGGATGGGATAAAAGGGAGGGGCGGGGATGGGCGGGAATCAGAAAGGAATTATCGGGTGTGAGGAACACGGCACCGGATGCCCTCATCTGGTCTAGCCCGCCCATCGAGGTGGTAACCGGAGTGCGACCGCTAGACAAACCCTAGATCAGGGAAGCCAGAGATAATAGCTCTGTCAAAGTTAATGTCGGTGAACCTAACTTGCTATCCCTGCGACAGTTTTGACATCGTGATCAACGATACCCACTGTGCGTTACGCAGCATGTTGGGAGTAGACACGGCGACTTGCGCGGGATTTCTTTTATTGTAATATTAGATTTGCACAGCATCTGCCGCACTCTCTCACTCCCTTCTCCACCTGCACCCAGTGTCATGACAGAGTCAAGACGACGGGAGGCGAAAGAGGACGCAGGTGGCTGGTACGACATCAACCCACACCTAGGCGTAACACCTCACCCCGTTTTCCGCAACGCACACACACAACAAGAAAATATTTTGGTGACTCGGATCCCATCTGGTGCGGCATATGTCTGCACCTTGACCTGCTACCACACTCCCAATATTGGCCTTTGACATGGGTGCTCATCCCTAATCACGCCTGCCGAAACTGATCTAGCCGCCGTCTTAGTTCAGCACATCCACCGCGTGACTCGTTGATGGGGCGGGACCCACACATACACAGTTGCACAGTTCAGACTTATAATGTACGAAAGGAACGGTTTTTCAAACTGTTAGGTGTTGAATACGGTTATCATCACGAAAGACCGATTTGGTAAGTACTACTGCTTCAAACATGTACAAAGTTTCAAATTTTTGCTTGTACACGGTATGGACAGTTGATGAATGCCCATAAACCTTAATGCTTTTATCCCAGCCGGTGACCATTGCATCACTTTATGGAAAGCAGTGAGTTCATTTAAATTTGTTTACGCTTCTAGACTAAATCACAGTATAGTCGATGTTAAGTAACATCCGGTGAATGTGGATTGGCTGCTCTTTAGTAGAAAGAAAGAAAATGGGGAAACTGACTTAAAAGTAAACTTATATGTCGTAAGAAATGTAGATTGTTATACCGAGGTTACGCTTCTCAATTGCGAAGTTGCGAGGAAGGTGACAAAGGCTTTTTTAAACTGCTTCCCCTTTAATTCGCTACCCGTCAACCATGTTCCAGGGTGTTTGTGTATCGTGTGGACTGAAAAAAAACAATCAGGCACAAACCAATCTCCGATTGGCAAAGAAAGCAGAAACTCTGTGCGATCCAAAAAGAATTAATATTCCACTTTCAGGACAGTGCTTTTGGCCAACTTAGCCTAGCGACTAGATCAAATAGGCGGTGTACGTCTAATTTCCTTTACGTTATTTTGACATTCTTTTGCATTCTGTTTGATCACAAACATGGTGTTCACCATGGCAGAAGTGTATGGCTGGTGGCGAACGGTGATTAATTGAGATTTTCACAACATAAATGAGGGTGTACTTATTCAAATCAGTTATCAGACTGCCTAAAAAGGTCCGTTCCGAAGAATATACTCCAAGTTCGCGCATTAATTTCCTTAGGAATTAAAAAATGCAAAATAAGCAAAGACGTGAGTCAACTCTCCGACCCTTACATCTTTTTTTACCGACGGCGGTAACAACTGTTTCTACTTCTACAAGTTTACCTTTGGATAATTACAAAACGCCTGGGTTTTTATGTAGATTACAGCCGGTTTAAAGTCTGGTGCTACTTCATTTTTGTCGTCTAATCAATGTTGTTATCAAGACACAATAGTTTTTCTCATACGCGCTGCCCGTAACGCGCTACGATAAGCTCTACTATCCCTACTTCGCCCGGATTCTTTAAAGTTTTACTTGAGAGAATTCTGTGAAATAAAAACCGAACAACCAGTAGTCATCGCATATCCGTCCACGCCTAAACTGATTGCGATTATCTTATGACTCTCTTTTGTAAAGTGCCTTCCTACTACAAAAATAAGCTATTGCCTAGGAATCCGATGCTTAGATTTTATTTGGCCTAAAATTAAAGGTTTATTGTGACCTCTTGATCAAAAGTCGAGATTAGCAACCTTATGCAATATGAAGTGCTCAGCGTTTTTTTGAACTTAGAACTTCAAATGAAAAGCCATTAATCCAGCTGCTTTGGGGCCTTAAGTTTAGGCCTGGGATAGCATCGGTTGCGTAAGATTCCTCCAAGCCCATATGAAAACATTTTGATACGTTTAACAATTTGATTACAAAGTAGGCCGCTTAGCATCCATTCCACCAATAATAAAACCTGCCCAAACGATACACACATCACGTTGTTTTATCACGAATATCAGGCTGAATAGAACTTTCGCCAGAGTAATGAGACTGTCTTTGAAGAGTTGGGTTAATTTTCAGACGCACATGCATAGCATCAACTTTGTCAAATGAAATATTCAGCACCGCAAGACAGAACCGCGGACAAGTAGCATTCACTTCCTGAACGCTACACTCGATGAATGTCGGGTGAGATAATACTGCGTTGTTGAGCGTCTAGGAAATGTTGCTGTCTTCCAGAACTCACGCGTTGATGTAGCACTAACAGGCCCTGATCGTTTTAAAGTTGTGAAAATCCCCATCACTATGTTCAGAAGAGACAGTGGCGAGTGAACGTTCCTTTCGGTAAATTCTCATCAGGCCAATACAGTTACACAGGGAGGGGTACAGTGAGTGAAACAAAAGTCGATAAAAGTTAGGTTTTAAATTACAGGCTCGGCAAGAGCGGAAGGGCGCCGAAAGTTGTATGTGGTTAGTCAACCTTTGACCACGGTAAGCGCGGAGCCTGAACAAGGTTCTTTTAGGCGCATAGGGTCGGTTTTCGTAACCTTATGGCGGCCGCTTCTGCTGTGGCTAACAGGCGCTGGCCCAGTAGCTTGGGGTAGCTCGAGGGGACCTTGTAAATCACACGAAATGCTTCAGTGGGGTCCACACGATGCCCTGAGTCCACTGCATGCGCAAGGATGGCGCTGTCTATTCTCCTAGTTTCACCCTTTGCCAGCCATGCGGGAAGGTGCTCTC